GGGTCCTTGCAGCTAGATTCTAGATTACTTAGAAAAACAATCTTTTATATATATAAAAAAACTATACTATTACATACAAATAAAAACCCAGCGAAGCGGGATCTTGCAGCTAGTTGTTATATAATACCTACCGCTGAGAATCAAACAAGCTATTTTCAATTTGATCAATTTTCTGGAACGTTTACAATCGTTCTATAAATCGAACCAATATGCAATAACAAATTCGAATTTAAAACGGTTCGAACATTTGGTTAAAAAATCGAAATATATAAAAATATTTATAACAATGTCTGAAATGTTATCAATTTAATACACCTAAGTACTTAACGAAGACTAAACGTTGTTGAAAACAAAAAATAGCATCTAAAATAGTACAGTAGAAGCCGTTCTTCCGTTTAAGCCTTAATGCTCTCCCTCTCCCCCCACTGGGGAATTTCGAAAAATCCCTTCTTAGTGTGCGTTTCCATGACGTACCCTAACTGTGTACCAAATTTCACCTCTTTAGGTTTAGCGGTTTGCTCTGGGCGATGATGAATCAGTGACTCAGTCAGTCAGGACAAGTAATTTTATATATTTAGATAAGCAACAGGTTATGTACATGAATTAACATATTTGATCAGAAATTTTTTCACTTTCATTTTTTATTATTTCTGTCCTGTGCCACAAAGAAGGCTTTTTAATCACATCCGTTATAGATTCGACCAGGTCGAAATGAGGACTGTCGGGTGATGAGAAACAGGGTCCAACATATCCAGAACAGACCACTTATAAAAATTTTTGAGGTTGTTTGCCCAGATTTGATCTCGGGTCCTTCAGAACAGTAGGCTGATTCTGACTGCTTCGACCTTCAAGTCGTCAAATCCGCACATATTTATATATTTTAGAAAGTTGATACGGATATCGACTTTCGGATGTAGAACATCCGAGACTTGTTGATCTTCCTCCTCATATCCTTATCTACACTTTTTTGTGCGGATGTTTACAAGTACTGTACAGAAAGACCTTGTTTAGCACATTCTCGATTAATGCTAATTCGATTTAAACGAGTCTTACTGTATTACAAGTACAAGAAAACCATTTGAGTTAACGAAACTGAAATACAAATACACTAAAATCTGTGTAAACCAGAATCGCACGGTATCAAGTTATTTTTCGGGTTTTCATTTTAACGATTTAGTAATTTTTTTAATCTTTAAACTACATCAAATAAATGTCATATAGTTGCGTTCATTTTTATAGTAAAATCACTTTTACGTAAGTAACGGAATTTTATTACCACGTTTAATTAAAATGAATCCAAATCGATTTCAACTATAGGTGGAAATATTCGAATGCAAGAATTGGAAACTATTCTATTGCAAAAAGTTTCCGTTGTTTGCAAGAATTTGTGCTGGATATTCAAATATGAGTTCACAGAAAACGGACAACTCAATTCGAATTCCAAAAGCTAGGCAGCCAAAAGCCAAAAGCAAATTCTCTCCTGTCGGAAATTCTAATTGCATTACAGTTATACAGAGACAAAATTATTCTGTGATCTGGCTTCTCCAGAAATTTTAATACTGTAATGTTTTTCAATCTCCGATCCGCAGAAAAATATTTGATCGTATTGACGTTGACGCAGTTAGTTACAGGTGACATTTAAATAGTAAACTAGAATTACTGTACAGTACGTACTGTGTTATGTACAGTAACTTTAGATTAGCATATGTAAGCGTATTAACTAAGCATAATTCATAGTAGCGTATAATTACTGATCCACGTAAAATTATGGATAATTTTAGGTTTTAGTGTTTAGTGTTTCACAAGTTTTCCGCGATAAGTTAAAGGTTGTGAAACACTGTTTTAATTAACCGTCTACTTCAATCTCTGTAATTGTCAACATGTTAGAAACCATGTCGACAATTACATGTTTTGTAACATGTTGACTCTGTAACAATAAACTTGT